TGTGATGCCACGGCATGCTACCAAGGGTGAAAAAGTGACTCTCTGTCTCAAAAAAAAAAAAGAGAAGAAAAACTTGCCCAGTGTAGTGGCACACATCTGTAGTCCCAGCTACTTGGGAGGCTGAGGCAAGAGAATCTCTTAAGCCCAAGAGTATGAGGTTGCTGTGAGCTGTGATGCTGCACAACCCCTGGATAAGGAGGGCCAACTGTAAAATATAACAATACATTGCATATTATATATTACATATATCTAATGTATAATATATAGTATGTAATTTTGCTATATATAACAATATTAGATTATATAATATCAATAGTAATTAATATTATTGTGTATAGAAAGTCATACACATGGGTATTCTTAACAGCAATGCTTAGATTACAAAACACTCAAATCACCATCTAAATAGGGAGGGCAGTTCAATGCTCCCTCAGTAGAATTGTATACTACATGGAAACGCAGAGTGATTAAGAACCTAGGTTCTGGACTCGGTGCCTGGAGCTCAAGCAGCTAAGGCGCCAGTCACATACACCAGAGTTGGTGGGTTCGAATACAGCCCAGGCCTGCCAAACAAAAATTGACAACTATAACCAAAAATAGCCAGGTGTTATGGCAGGTGCCTGTAGTCCTAGCTACTTGGGAGGCTGAGGCAAGAGAATAGCTTAAGCCCAAGAGTTTGAGGTTGCTGTGAGCTGTGACACCACAGCACTCTACCCAGGGTGATAGCTTGAGACTCTGTCTCAAAAAAAAATACAGTTAGAAGAGAGGACATGAAATGTTCCCAACACAGAAATGATAAACACTCAAGGTGATGGATGTCCTAAATACCCTGACTTAATCATTACACATTCTATGCATGGAGCAAAATATACCAAATCCTCCATCAATATGTACAAACATCGTGTACAATTTCAAAATAATTTTAAAAAAGAAAAAAAGTCAATTAGTAAATGTACACCTTTTGGAAACAAATATCAGTTGGTACAACAAAGCCACCAATTAATTAATCTACCTTCCTTCCTTCTTTCCTTTTTTCCTTCTCTTTTTCTTTCTTTCTTTTTAATGATACGGTCTCACTCTGATGCCCAGGCTAGAGTACAGTAGCATCATTATAACTCACAGCAACCTCAAACTCCTGGGTTCAAGTGATTCCCTTGCTTCAGCCCCAGAGTAGCTGGGAATACAGGCACCCGCCACTATACCTGGATAATTTTTTCTATTTTTTATAGAGATTGGGTCTTGCTATGTTGCTCTGTCTGGTATGGAACTCTGGTGTTTAGGTGATCCTCCTGCATTAGCCTCCCAAAGTGCTGGCTGGGATTACAGGAATGAGCCACCAATTTCTAAGGGCTTACCATGTACCCACATAACTGAAATAGACCTTTTTTCATCCAATCTAAGATGGAATCTCTCTTGTCCAAAATGCCTGGGACCAGAAGTGTTTAGGACTTCAGATTATTCTGGATTTTAGAACTTCAAACTTTTCAGATTTTTCTGAATATCTGAGTTGGGCATTCCTAATCTGAAAGTCTGAAATCCAAAATGTTCCAATGAGCATTAAAAGTTTTGGATTTCGCTCAGTGCCTGTAGCACAGTGGTTATGGCACCGGCCACATACACTAAGGGTGGCAGGTGCAAAAAAAAAAGCCTTGCATTGTGGCAGGCGCCTATAGTCTCAACTACTTGGGAGGCTGAGGCAAGAGAATCTCTTAAGCCCAAGAGTATGAGGTTGCTGTGAGCTGTGATGCCACGGCATGCTACCAAGGGTGAAAAAGTGACTCTCTGTCTCAAAAAAAAAAAAGTTTGGGATTTGTAAGCATTTCAGATTCTCAGATTAGGGATACTCAACCCATACTCACCCCTACCTCATGCATGGCACTCATATTTTCTATTCCATTTTATTTTTAAAAATTAATAGCAATCAACCCATTCAACCATCACTGAGTTGGGATGCCCACTGTTAAGGAGACCTGGAAGGATACTCAGGAGACAAGTAGCTGCACAGCCTGGAAAGCCCCTGTTTGGTTGGTTTTAAAATGGGGCACATGTCCCCATTTCGCCGGTGGATGGGTGGGATGTTAGGCAAAAGGAAGAAATAATAGGCTCAGCACCCGTAGCTTGGTAAGTAGGGCACTGGCCACATACACAGAGGCTGGCGAGTTCAAACTCGGCCTGGGTCTGCTAAACAACGACAACTGCAACAAAAAAATAGCTGGGCGTTGTGGCAGGTGCCTGTAGTCCCAGCTACTTGGGAGGCTGAGGCAAGAGAATTGCTTAAGCCCAAGAGTTTGAGGTTCCTGTGAGCTATGATGCCATGGCACTCTACCAAGGGCGACCAAGTGAAACTCTGTCTCAAAAAAAAAAAAAAAAAAAAAATGGGTGGTGCCTGTGGCTAGTGAATTGGGCGCCGGCCCCATATATTGAGGGTGGTGGGTTCAAACCCAGCCTCAGCCAAACTGCAACAAAAAATAGCTGGGTGTTGTGGTGGACACCTGTAGTCCCAGCTACTCAGGAGGCTGAGGCAGGAGAATCACCTAAGCCCAGGAGTTGGAGGTTGCTGTGAGCTGTGACTGCACAGCACTCTACCAAGGGCAATAAAGTGAGACTCTGTCTCTAAAAAAAAAGAAATAATAATAAAGCTGGAGACATAAAAATACTCCTTCATTAGCTTTCCCTGTCTCTCCCTATGCTCTGACACAGAAAAACATAGTCTAAGATCTAGAGACCCAAGTGTGGGGCTCTGCTTTCAGTCCCTCCCTCCTCACTGACCAGTGACACACATGAGAACACAGGAGCTGTGGGGGAGAAACCTGCAGAGAGCTGTGGACGGAGAAGAGGCAGGAGGAGGTAGAGGTGGCAGCAGCAGGGGCGTTGGGGTCCTGGAGCACCAGCAGCTGGCGGTCTGTCTTCTGGGTGAACAGCAGCTGCAGGAGAGAGGGGGGAGGTACGCTGGACCTGGAGGGATCCCAGAGGGACCACCAGTGCCCATATCTCAGATGCAAAAACAAAGGAGAGCTGAAATATGGCGCTTAGTGTCTAGTCTCCTAGCCTGAGGGAGAGCTGTGTGCAGAGACCACTGTTTCCCTGATGAGGGGTTGGGAGCTCAGACCCTAGGTCTGAGGGGGAAGAGGCTAGGGATGGACCCCTGGGTATGAGGGAGGAGAAGCTCAGGGCCAGACCCCTGAGTCTGAGAAAGGAGGGGCTAGAGGCCCTGACCCTTGAGTCTGAGGGAGGAGGTGCTGGGGGCCCAGATCCCTAGGTCTGAAGGAGGAGGGGCTCACAGACACATAAAATCCCCATACCTTAGTGAGGGCCTGATTAGGCTCAGAGAAGTCCCCAGCAGGTGTTCCCTGCAGGCGGTTGAGCTCCAGCAGCCTGGTCCGTTCCTAAGGGAAAACATCATGAACAAGGTTGTCTCAAAGTCAGTATATGCCATCCCAGCTGCTCTCCCTGATGCCAGGAGACACCTGGGTTGCCCCAGGGGGAAGTGAGAACAATAGGACAGATACCTGGAAAGCTCACCTGTGTCAGGGCCTGAAGAGCCTCCTCCTTCTTCTGGCTCAGTCCCCGGCTCTCAGTTGCCATTTGCTCCCCCAGTGACTTGAGCTGCTCCTCTAGGACCTGGATCCGGCGCTGCAGGGCAACTACCCTAGTTACTCAGCTGCCCTGGAGGCCTGGCTGGCTTTCCAGGTCCACCCTCCACAAAACCAGGTTCACCATGAATGCTGGGATGGGCTCCACCCCCTCACAGAGACCATGAGATCTGAGTATCCAGGGACAGGGACCCAAGAGTTCAGCTCCCTGGTGCCCTCTTCCCTTTGGGGGAGGTCCAGAAGAGATCCGGGGTGGACTGGAGGAGATGAAGAGAAAGGGACAGACAGAGAGACAAACCAGAACAGATGGAGAAAATGGAAGTGGAGAAAAAACGTGGAGAAAGCAGACAAAACAAAAATACAACAGAGACAGATAGAAACCATCCGAGACAGAGGAAAAAAGGGAGGGACAGGAAAAGGATTTAAAAATAGAAGTGGGGAAAGGAGGCTTACAGCATGGCTTTCTAATCTAAAACTTTGGGAACTTTGTGTTAAATATAGTCAAACATGATGGGTCAGACCCATAAGAGCCTCCTTTTGGACCAGCGCTTAAGAGCCAAAAAGCATAGAGGAGAAGACTGAGTTGGTTCCAATCCAGGTTCTCTCTATCCTTAATGAACTATGCAGCCTTGGGAAAGATTCCTTAAGTACCTTGACCTTCAGTTTCACCATGTATAATATGGAAAAAAAATAATAATGATAGGACTTGCCTCATAGGTCTGTTATAAGGAGTCAATAAGTAAATATTCATGAGGCATTTAGGACCATGTCTGGCACATGGTGAATGTTCCATAAGCGTCAGCTATTGTAACTACACTGAAGAACATGACACAGGCAGGAAACAAGGGCAGAGAAAGGGCCAGACATGGAGCAGAGGAGACAGAGGGGAATGGCAAGGGAGGCAGGGCCAGGCCAGCAGGCCTCACCTTGTGCTGTGCCACACTGGCCTGAAGTTCCTGGACCTTGGGGTCTGGTGCCTGGGTCCCAGGGCTGTCCCGATCCTCTTCCTCCTGCCGGCTCTCCCGTTCCAGTTGCTGGAACTCCAGGTCCTCATAGGCACGCTGGGCCACATCCAACTGTTCCCTTATCTGTTTTGTTTGTTTGTTTGTTTGTTTGTTTAGTAGGCCTGGGCTAGGTTTGAACCCACCACCCCCAGTATTCTAACCAGTGAACTATGGGCACCCAGCCTATTCCCTCATCTGTGAGTGAGGATACAAAAGGGCTGAAGGCTTGGACCTCTAGGGCTCAGGAAGAGTGGGCTAGGCCAGGAATACTGGTCAATGAGGAAGGGCCACTGGGTCCTGGGGGTTAGGAGGCTTGGGGCTTAGACTTCTGGGTTCTGATAGAGGAGGGGGCCAGCTGGGGATTCAAACTTCAGGTTCCTGACGGAAGAGGAACCCGGACACCCGAGGGCCTCACCTCCTGCACCCCCTGTAGAAGCCTCTCCCGCTGGTCCTCTGGTTGTGAGTTGAGCTGTCCCTGGGCCTCCTGGAGTCTCTGGCGAAGACCCTTCACACGATCCCGCTCTTGGCTCAGCCGCCTCTTCTCCTGAAAGAACAACCAGGTTCTCAGCCTCAGCCTGAGTGCAAGGAAGGAAAAAGAGACCAGTTGCATCTTAGACCCCTGCCTGAGGTGTCATCTCCACAAAGACAGGGACCCTGTCTATCTGGCTCACTCGTGTATAGGTCTGCCCTAGAGGAGGTGCCAAAGAAACAGTTTTTAAAGAAATGAATGAAGGGGCGGTGCCTATGGCTCAGTGAGTAGGGCCCCATATACTGAGGGTGGTGGGTTCAAAGCCAGCCCTGGCCAAACTGCATCAGAAAAATAGCCAGGCGTTATGGCGGGCGCCTGTGGTCCCAGCTACTCAAGAGGCTGAGGCAAGAGAATCACCTAAGCCCAAGAGCTGGATGTTGCTGTGAGCTGTGATGCCATGGCACTTTACCAAAGGTGACAAAATGACGCTCTGTCTCTTAAAAAAAAAGAGAGAGAGAGATGAATGAACACAAACATATTCACTCTGTGTGATAACTGAGGATCCTGAAGGGGATTGGACCTGGGCCCTGCCATTTAGATGGGTACACAGCCAGTTAATCCCAGAACAATCAGGGCAATGAAACATAGAGACTGTGGAAACCAAGAGGGAGGAGAAACATCTGCCGGAATAATCCAAGGCTTCCTGGATTTGGGGCTGTCAAGGTAAACTTCAAAAATTAGGGAGCATTAGGAGTTGAGTCAATCTCTCTCCCTTGCTGCAAGACCCTGTTGCTGTGGTCCCTATAACATGTATAAGGCAGAGGCAAGGAAAGAAAAGAAATCAGGTTGACCTGCGAAAACAGAGGGAACTGGAAGAACATTTTGGGTAGAGGGAACAGCATGGTACAAATACATGAAAGTTGAAAAGCACAGGAAGTTTGAGAAGCAAACCCTGGCCATCACGGAGAAGGGTATTGTGGTGGGAAGTGACAAGGAACATGGTGGGAGATGACAGTAGGAAGGTCAGCATGTGTAGCTCATGTTGGGTTTCGCTTGAGAAGCCCTTATCCTGGGACAATAGGGAGCCATGGAAGGACTGGAAGGATGGAGTTGTATCTAGGGTTGGAATCATCCCTCTGGGAGATGGATTAGAGGGATGGAGAAAAGCTCCTTCATGCAAGGAGATGAGACCTAGGCTGTGGCCTTGGGAGTGGGGATGGAAAAGAGATGAACTAGGGACAGAGGTTCAGGAAGCAGAAAGGACAGGACCTGGTGACTGACAGGCAGAGACAAGGAGATATGCAGGGCAAGGTCCAGGACTCTGGGCTGGTGACCAAAGGGACAGCAAGACAGTGTAAAGAAAGGAGTTGCTGAAGTCAGCTTTGGATATGGTAAATGAGAAGGAGCTAGACTCCTGGGTCTGAGGGAAGAGGGCCTGGGGGCCTGGACCCTTGGTTCTGGGGGGCTGGGGGTCTGGACTCCTGGATCTGCAGGAAGAAGGAGCCCCTAGGAGCCAGCATCCAAGGAACTAGGGCAGATAGATATAGACCTCCAGAGAGAAATCAGAGCTAGGAGAAGTATGGGCTCTTTGTGGGTAAACGAGGACCTAGAACCAACCCCTGGAAATGCCAACATACAAAGCATTTGCAAAGATAAAGACTGATGGAATGACAAAGTCACCATTTTCAATTTATAATGATAACCGATCCAAGCAATGACCAATCAGATGAAAGAGTCTTAAGAAGAAACTAGGATGACTTCACAAGTTCTGGGCAATCAGAGGTGATGCCCCCTGATAATCTCTCAGGAAGCACTAAAGCACGTAGGAACCTGATCAGCCCTTTACATCAACCAACCACATGCTTGCAGGACAGAGGAACATGTCAAAGAACTCGAGGCATGCAATCAGCCACATCCTGTCTGTGGGACAAAAGTTAGTTTTTCCAATAAATAATATGAAAAGATACAGTAGATAGGAATCATTAGAGATGAAACAACACATAAGCCATATCAACCAATTACATACAGCACATGGGCCTTGGGGACCTGATTCAAACAATCCACCCAATAACTGGCATTTTGTGGCAATCTGGAAAACATGAAAACTAACTATACATGAAATGATACTAACTTATTAATTTGTAAGGTGAGATAATGATATGGTGATACCATTTTGATTGATTTATTTATTTTAAGATAGCATCTTCCTGGCTCAGTGCCTATAGCTTAGCGGCTAGGGCAACTAGGCCACATACACCAGAGCTTGGCAGGTTTGAATCCAGCCTGGGCCTGCCAAACAACAATGACAACTGCAACAAGAAAATAGCTGGAGTTGTGGTGGGTGCCTGTAGTCCCAGCTACTTGGGAGGTTAAGGCAAAAGAATCGCTTAAGCCCAAGAGTTTGAGGTTGCTGTGAGCTGTGATGCCACAGCACTCTACACAGGGCAACATAGTGAAACTCTACCTCAAAAAAAAAAAAATGGCATCTTGCTCTGTTGCCTGGACTAGAGTGTAGTGCATAGCTCACTGAAACTTCAAATGCCTGGTCTCAAGAGATCCTCCGGCCTCAGCCTCCTGAGCAGCTGTTGCTCAGGATCCTGCCAACTCAGCCTCTCAAGGTCAGAGAATGGGAGATAACAGGCTAAGCCACCATGCCTGGCCAACATTCAAACAGCGAAGAGAGAGAGGGCAAAGGGGCCCTGGAAAGTCTGACCCAAACAATCATGGTCAGAGAGGGAGGAGGAAAACCAGGAGAGGCACCTGCCCCTCCACTCTCTCTCAACCCCAAGAGTCCACGTGCAGGGAATGGGGACAACCCAGGGGCCCAGAAGTCCAGGAGCACACCAGTAATATCCACTAGAGGAGGAAGGAAACTGATGATGAAGATCCAAGGGGCCAAACAGACCTGTTCGCGCTGCTCTCGGCCGCCCTGTTCTGCGGCCACCTGCTGCCCCAGCAGCTCCCGGAGCTGCTCCTCCTCCCGCCGAGCGGCCACTCGCTCCCCTGCCAGCTCACCCCTCAGCAGGGCCACCTCCACTTCCATCTGCAGAGAGAATGCAAGGGCTGCGGCCTCGGACGCCGCCTAGGTCTGAGACAGGGTCCAGGGGTCTGAACTTCTGAGTCTGGAGGGAGGGTGGAACCCAGGGATTTGAATTTGGAGGGAGGATCGGCTGGGGGCCTAGAATCTGATTCTGCAGGAGGAAAAGGTTGGGAGTCCAGCCTTGCGAGTTCTCCTACAGTTGGGGCCAGACTTCCAAATGGGTCCCAGCCTCACCTCGATCCTCAGCTCCTTCCTCTGGCGCTGCAGCTCCTTCACTCGCTGCTCCATCAGGGCCACGCGAGTCAGTGCCTCCAGCTGCTGCCCTCGCAGCCGCCGTGCCGCCCCTCGCGCTCCTTCCCCCAAAGGGGTGGACGTTGGGAATGCTGCGGGGGTCTTTACGCGAGGCTCAGCCTCTGGCTGAAGTTGGAGAGGACGAGTTCAAGCAGAAAAGCCTCGCCCCTCTACAGTCTCTAAGTAAGTCCTGTTCCCATCCACACCCGCCCCCCGCGGGTCTCGCTCGGCCTTAGTCGACCACCACGCCCATAATCTTTCTCAGTTTCTTTTATTCGAAGATAGAGCGGGGAAGGGAGCAGGTCCAGGGACCACTCGACCCCAGAGGTCGCAGGACAGGGAGGAAATACGGAGCCCCCTTGTGGAAAGTGTTTCTTTTTCTCTATCCAAGTCCCATTCTCTTGGCAAAACCTTCCTGTAGACTCTGGATCTCCTTCCCTCCCCCTCCGCCGCCCCACGGTCTCCCGACTCAGTATCGGTCTTCCGTCTCTAAAGTCTCTAAATCACTAGATCTCTTCCTTCCTCAAGAGTCTCTCTCTCTCTCTCTCTCTCTCTCTCGCTCTCTCTTTCGTCCCTCTGACTGGGTGCCTGGATCTCCTTCTCATCAGCAGTCTCTCCTATCTCTGGGTCTCTCTCCCTATCTCTGAGTCTCTATCTCTCTGGTTTCTCTATCACCCTCTCTCTATGTCTTTGTCACCCATTTGGGTCGATCTCTGTTCTCTGGGCCTCTTCATGGATCTGTGTCTATCTAGTTTCTGTCTCTGTGACCCGGTGTCCTGATCTGTCTCTCAGGAGTCTTTCCCTATATCCAGTTCTCCGTCTACATGATTTCTCTACACGTCTCTCTGTGTTAGGTCATTTGTCTGGATCTATGTCTGTCCGGGTCTTTCTATGACTGTCGCCCTCCAGGCTCTCACCGCGTCGCGGCTGCTCTCGGTGCTGCTGCCTTCTCCCACGTCTTCCTCTTCCTCGGCCTGCTGCTCAGCTCCTCGGTCGTTCGGAAGCTCCACCTGGTCTTCGGATGCCTCCTGCTTGCGGGGGTCCTCGGTGTTCCCCTGGGGCTGGGCGGCCCCTCGAGGCTGGACCACCGCTTCGCACTTGGGGACCAGGAGCGGAGCACTTCCCTCCTCCCGGGTGCTTGGCTTGTCCATGGCTGCTTCGAGCTACAGCGGGTAGGCGGGGCCCGGCAATATGGAGGCGGGGCCAGGCGGCGTGGGGCGGGGCCTAGGGGCCCTGGGCCGGTCTGCTGAGATCCGTGGAGCACCACTTAGGAGGCGGAGCCTAACAGTTCAAAGGATGGAACTGAACATTACAGGGCGTGGCCTGAAGTTTCCAGAGGCTAAGCGTGCAGTTGGGGCGGGAGTTGAAGGGCTCCTTGGGCGACACGCCCCCGAAGGCGGGACCGGAATTTGAGTCCCGGGTTCTAGTATGCCCCCTACTGGCATCTCCGACCTCGCCTTTCTCTCCTTACCAGGTGTCAGGCTTCTGTACCTTCTCAGCCGCCCGCCAGAATCTCTCAGACTATCTTAGAGCAACCCAGTCCTCTCCTTCTGGGACGCAAGTCCGGCTCCCGCCCTCTACTTCCTGGAGCCCCAGAGTCTTGGTCCTGACTCCCCAGTGTAGGGGAGCGGAGCCTGTGCCGCCTACCCCAGGAATCCAGGGGTGGGGACTCCTTGTCTCCCGAACTCCAGCCCTCCTAACCCGCGGCCTCTGCCCCTCACCAGCTCAGGCTTCGGCGCGCTCCGCTCTGTGCTCTGGTCACTGCTGCTTCTGCCCACAAGACAGGTGGCTGGGGAGGAGAGTGGCGAAAAAGGCCGCCGTCCCCCTCCCCAGCAGCCCGGAAGTGGAGGGGGGTGACAACAGGTTCAACAGCTCTTGAGGGAGGAGGGAGCGACCAGCTTGTCCCGCCCGCAGCCTAGGCATGTGGCCTTCCCGGCCCCACCGGCCCCACCCTTGGGGAACCCAGCATCACGACCTCCCCAATCTCCCTCCAGCACTCCCACACCAGTCCCCTGGAGGGCCAGGTGTCTTGGCCAGTGCTGTATAGGCGCCTACCTAAATGCCCAGACCCTGAAAGTCCTGAAAAGACGACAGGAATGGAGATGGGGACCTCTCCTCTCTAAAGAGCCCTTTTAAAGGGCCCCAACCGGTTTGGGGAGTTGGACAAGGGGAAGGGGTTCTCTGAGCTGAATCAGAGACCCACCCAAAGACAGGGATTGTGCCCCCCTCCCACTTTGCTATGGGATGAAAGGCAGAGGTTATAGGTCTCAACCAGACCCTTTCCTTTCTGGGCAAAAACAGGAAAATAACTGGTATATATAAAGGGATTATTAGATGTCAAGAGCAGTGGGAAATACTTTATATGTGTTGATTTCAACCTCACAGCAGCCCAGGCAAAAAGGAATTACTATCTCCATTTTATACTTGGGGAAACAGGCTGAGATTAGATATACCTGAAGCCTTAACACAGGCTTCATTCTCTCAAAAATCCATGTTTTTAACCATTATGTATGCTGTCATTCCAAGTCAGGAAGTGCCTAAAAGATCATTCCAAATGATAGTAACAATAATAGTGAATGCCAATAGGGAAGTGTTCCAAGCACTTGCACATATGAACTCACAACATCCCATTATTATTTTCATGTACAAATAAGAAAACTGAGGCCTAGAGATGTTAAGTCCTAACCCTGGGGCCCACAGAGGGAAGTGGCTCCAAAGCAAGATTGTGTGCTAACAAGAGGCCACGTCGAGGACCAGCCCCAGGTATCTGTGTCGAGGACCAGTCCCAGGTATCTGTGTTTGCTTTTGAGCTTGTGAGTTAGAAATCTCCTTCCAGGCTACCTATATCTTCAGCTTGCCTGCTCCTCTGGCCTCTCCAGGGAACCAGACTACCCACAAGCCTGTCAGCCCAGAAACCCAACTGGCTCATCAAGAAAACAGGCAGAAGTCAGATTTATGCCAAAAAGTTTTATTCAGAAGTTCTAGGGGTCTGATTTAGGGGGTGGAGGTGAGAGAAGAGAGGTGCTATGGTGACACCTCTCCTCTTATGCCACCCAGTGCATTCTTAGTGGATATTAGCACCTGACAGAGATAAGGTCAGGAAGGGGGGCTCTGGACCCCACAGCGCATGTTGGCTGGAACAGCAATGTCTGAAAGGAAGAAACCAAAGTTAAAACCAAGGGGCCTAGGCAGACCTCCAGGCGCCATTGGGACCCCAGAAATCATAGAAGCCCTTCTTTTCAGGGGAACTAGATTTCTAGCCCTGAGCCAACTCCTTCCTTCAACCCAGAAGTCCAGGCTCCCAGCCCTTCCTCCCCCAAACCTAGGGGTCTAGGCCCCCAACCCCACCCCCCTCAGGACCAGGGGTCCAGTTCCCCACCCCCTCCTCCCTGAGACCCAGAGGTCCAGGTTCCAGTCCCTCCTCCCTCAGACCCAGGAGTCGTGGCCCCCCAGCTCCCCCCTCCCTCATATTCTGGGACCTGGGCCCTCAGCTGCTCACCTATCTGCAGAGGTTTGGGCAAGTTCAGATTGTTCATGACTTTGATAAACTCCTCACAGCTAAGGGTAAGCCTAGGGTTCAGAGTCCGCTCCTCCTCCACAGTGGACACTGTGAGCCCTAGTGGCCAAGGGAAGGGAAGAAAAGTCAACGGGTGCATCTCAGGCCACGCAGAATAGCATTTCCCAGGAGGCCTTGGGGTGCCTCTCCAGCCTGAGACTGACAGGCTCTTCTGAGAAAGTCCCTGAGATGTCTTTCCCTCATAGGCACCATGGAAAACGTAGTTTCCCACAGTTCCCTATGATCTACAATAAGTCCCAGGAAAACCCATGCCCTGCAGAATTCTAACAGTCCTACAGCATCTACATCCACACACAGCACACTCAAGCATTTAATGTGTTAAAAGCAATGTCTGGGAATTGTGGTCTTTGTGCTACCCTTTCAAAAGTAATGTAAGCCCCACATCTCCTATAGGAAGCCCTCACCATGGTAATCATGAGCAGGGTAGATCAGACAGTCTCCTGGAAGCGTGAAGATCTTTTTGTGGACGGAGTGGTACAAGGTCTTAGCACAGCCTGGGGAAGAAAGATCAGAGGTCAGTGCATCAACAAGATGGGAGAAGACCCTAGCCCCTTCCCTCAAGGAAAAAGTGGGGGCCAGGTGCAGTGTCTCAAGCCTGTAATCCCAGCACTTTGGGAGGCTAAGGCAGGAGGATCATTTGAGGCCAGGAGTTCAAGACCAGCCTGAGCAACATAGAAAGACCCTAAAATTAAAAATTAGCCAGGTGTGGTGGCATGCTGTTTGGAAGGCTGAGGTGGGAGGATCTCTTGAGCCCAGGATTTCAAGGTAATAGTGAGCTATGATCGTCACTACACTTCAGCCTGGGTAACAGAGTGAGACCCTATCACTAAAAAAAGGGAGGAAGGAAAGGAGGAATGGCGGGAGGGAAAAGAAAAGGAAGGAAGGAAGGGAAGGGGGAAGAAACACAATGAAAAGAAAAAAGGCAAGACAAGGCTAGGAAAAAAAAATCACTGTAGCTGAACCCTCTTCCCCGTGTCCTGCCAATACTCTTTTGTCTAGGTAGAGAAGGAGAGGGACATTCTAGGTGGGTGGAACAGCATGGACAAATAATGGAGGAATAATGAGAAATTCAACATGGCTATAAAAGGTAGGGATAAGACCCTAGAGTACCAAGGTGTAGTACCCTCACTCTGGGGACACCAAAAAGACATCTGGGCAGGGAAGGTGGACTAGAAGGTAAGAAACCAAAGACACGAGGCCAAAGAGGAAAGTAGAGCCATAGTTCCAAAAGGAAGCTCTGAGTCCTAAGTTGGGCTAGGGCAGGGGTCCTCAAACTTTTTAAACAAGGGCCAGTTCACTGTCCCTCAGACTGTTGGAGGGCCAGACTGCGGGCCTTGGGATGAGTTGGCTGCTAAGCAGGACAAGCAGCGGTGGCAAAAACACCCAGCAGGCCAGATAAATGTCCTAGGCGGGCTGTATGTAGCCCATGGGCTGTAGTTTGAGGACACCTGGGCTAGGGCAAACCTCTCTTCCACCTTTCATTTCAGCCTAACTCCATCGATGTCGTGACTGTGTTGGAAATAGATAAATGGGAAATTGGAAGCCTCGGAGAGAAAAGAAGACTGAGATGCAGAAATAAAGAGAGAGGAAAGAGGGATCAAGAGGCCAGGGACCTGGCTTCCCACATCCATCTCATTGTGGCCTCAACCTTTTCTCTCTCTTTTCACTTCTCCCTGCAAGGCAGCTGAATCCTCCAAACCTAATATCAACCCTACATTCACACACATGCTCCAAACACTGAGATTCTGAAACTAAACTCTCTTTCCACAGGGAAATCCCTATATCTAACTACCCCTAGGAGCTGAACCCCAAATGTATCGCTGCCCTCTAGCAATTAAACCACTAACATCTTCTTAGCTAAATCCCTCAATCTGGCCAGTTGTGATGGCTCATGCCTATAACCCCAGCACTGTGGGAGGCTGCTGTGGAAG